CCCCCCCCCCACTTTGAGGTAAGCAAACAGAAAAGTTTAAAAGAAAAACAGGAAGAGTAAAGGAGTGTGATAGAGAAGTCAGTCTGTATCATATCCCAGAATGGGGCCAAGCCATTTTTCCACCTCGGCCACTGGCATGTTCTTCCTCAAAGCATAATCCTCAATCTGCAAAAGACAGAAAGAAGCATCTTGTTAAACCAAACTGCTAAGACTTTCTGAGTTTCTACAGTTTTTGCCAATAAACATTGGGTATCTGAGTCTCAATAGCAATCTACTGAGCTAAACAGAGACAGAACATTTTCTGTCTGCTTACTTGCCTATTCTTGAGGCAGAAAACATGTGGCAAATATTTGCTGCTTAGAAGCTGGCAGGTTGCCGGGTGGTGGTGGCGGTGGCACACGCCTTTAATCCCAGCACTTGGGAGGCAGAGAAAGGTGGATTTCTGAGTTCGAGGCCAGCCTGGTCTACAGAGTGAGTTCCAGGACAGCCAGAACTACTCAGAGAAACCCTGTCTCGAAAAACAAAAAAAAAAAAAAACAAAAAACAAAAACAAAAAAAAAAGAAGCTGGCAGGTTGTATGTATGTATGTTTGTGTGTGTGTGTGTGTGTGTGTATGCATGTGCCCCCATGGACTGTGGATAGGAAGGATTGACTCATGGGAAGAATCAGGGTAATGAGCTGAAATTAAATTGAAACATAACTGGAATGAGTTTATTCATGAAATCAAATTAAGACACAAGATGAGATGAACTTATACACACATGCACACACACACACGCCATACCATATCACTTTATTTTCATTTAAAATGGGTTTATGGCTCCATCTAAAGACAGTTATGTACAGAAGCCACATACTTACCTGATCTTTGGAAATTTTTCCCACAGCAAAATATTTGGACTTTACATTGGAGAAATATAGACCTGATACTGCTGAAGCAGGTGCCATTGCCAAGGATTCTGTCAACCTGATGCCTGAAGAGAAGAACAGGAAGCCATCAGTGCCTGGACAGGGGACTAATGGACTCTGACTAAGCAGCAAGTAAACTCATGCCTTCGTACAAATGACATAGTAAGAAGCTCAGATCACAAGGTTCAGCACAGTCTTGCCAGGTGGAAAACCAAATTCAGGACACGAATATTATACCCAGAAGGAGCAAACCTGGAAAAGGCTTTCATTGTTTTCCCAGCTACCTGTGACCAGTGTTAGAGGCTCCGATTTTCCCTAAGCCTGAGCCTTCTCAGGCAGGACTGCTGACCCTGGAAGTGATAGAATTGCCCAGAGCTCCCCAGACTGTGAAGTCGGTGACTGCAGGAATGAAGAATGAGTCCACAAAAGCACTGAGGAGGAGGTGTCCTCAGGACTGTTCACTGTAAGGACAAAACTACAGAATCACAAAGGCTGAGTACTTTCTAAAGATCTCCAGCTGGCTCAGGAAATGGGACCCACAGCCAGATGCTGCCACTCCCAGAGTGGTTCCTACAGACCCAGATCCAATGCCACTAACACTTCCTTCCTCTGATATGGGTTCAACTTCACCAGCTTGGACAAGGAAATGGGCTGCTTGGCAGGAATATGACATTGGCCAAGGACAAGGAAATAGGCTTCAGGCAGAAATCTGACATTAGGCTAGAACAAAGAAGCAATCTCAGGTAGGAATCTAAATCTTAGGCTAGAACAAATAAGTAATTTTAGGCAGGAATCTAAATTTTAGTCTTGAACAGGAAGTAGGCTTCAGACATGAAAGTGATTTTGGGCTAGGACAGGGAAGAAGGCTCAGATATTCTGGTCATCCTGATAAGCCCTTAGAAACAGTGATCAAGGGAGTGTTCATGTAATTGTGTTTATTGTCTTGCTTGCTCCTTGACTATTTGCATCTATTGTATTGCTAGACCTTCAGCCTAGAACTGACCTTAATACATGCATGTAATTAAAATGGTATAAAAGCAAAAAGGGGGGGCTGGGATGAGGGGATATAGGGAGGGGAAATGGGGAAAGGGGATGACATCTGAAATGTAAATAAATAAAATATTCAATTAAAAAAAAAAAAGAATACGATGTTGCAATTTGAAAGTAAAATGCCAGGACAGAGCCACATGAGAAAGAATGGAATGAGAGAGGACTTCATTCTAAGGTCTTCCATTTTATAAAAACTTTAGCTGCATATGTCTTTGTTTGGTAAGTGTATACGCTCAATGACAAGGACAGGAGCTCACTGTCTCCCACACACCTGTGGCCTGCTCGATGTTGGCCAGTCTCCACATGGTGAGCTTCTCAGTATGGTCAGGCTGGCTGGGGTAACCAGGAGCTGGCCGGATGCCCTCATACCGAAGTTTGCGCAAGTCTGTGACACCCAACTGCTCACCCCCACAGTAAGCCCACAGTTCTCGGCGCACTCTCTCATGGAGCTCCTCTGCAAAGGCCTGTGAACACAGAAGAGAGAGGTGCACAACCAATAAGAAGAAACCTGGAGCCTTTCGCCCTGTATCACAGTGGCATAGAACTGTTTTCAGCATCTGGCCATGGTCAGGAAAAACTCTGCACTTTCATTAGGGACTCAGTTCTGAGCTATCTATTTAGTAATCTGAGAATTCTAGGATTTTTTTTTTTTTTTTTAAGTCAACAGGACTACAGCTTCACCAGAAGAGTACTAAGACCATAGAGCTATATTCTCCATGGTCCGCTGAGAAGAAAGGGGACAGGACCTCCCACAGCCTGGGCTGCCCCACCCCCCATGCAGCAAGATAACTCTGCAAAAGTTGCTAACACTAGAGAGAAGGACTCTGAAGAAGAAATTTGACTTTAATTATAGGATTTATCAATAAATGATGTATCACAATAATCAAAGGAACATTAATTCAGAGATAAGGAAACAACCAACTAATACAGCAATGAAGGTTTCTTTTTGCTCAAAAGAGGACACAGGATTTTAAAATGTAAGTCATGTTAAAGCCACCAGCATCTGGCTCAAGTAAGAGGCAAACATTCTAATGGCTGCTGGTTTTCTGACATTGTCATGGGAGGTCCAACATCTAGACTCTGCCTCAGTCTCCCATATCTGCCAATGCCTTACCTCTGCCAGCCTGTCCCCTAGCGCCTTCACCATGATGCTGCTGTAGTCATCACCATCGTCCTCATAGGCCTTACTCAGCTCTTCAACCCCAAAGCAGGCAACAGCAAACAGACCCAAGTAGTCAGAGACACCAGAATGCAGAGGAGCAATGAAGTCTGAGAGGCAGTGGTAGGGGTCTGTACTGGAAGAGTCCTTCTCAGCCTTAAAATCCAAGCATCAGACAGAGAAGCCATTAGCATGGCCATGGCACCAGCATATGATAAAGAACTATGAATATAAGTCTCAGGACATAGGGATGTGTGCCTGCTTCATTCAGCTCTACCCTGGCACTCAGAACAATGTCTGGCATGCAGTGAGTATGCGATAAATACTTGCTGGATAAACAAGATGCTATGGTTTGGGTGTGTTCATACACTAAACTCCAATTATTCAACACAGCCATGTGGGGCCCAGGGATCTGCAGTGTATGTGGTGGAGCTTTCATGACTAACATCTTTCTCTTAGGATGGGTCAGCTCTCACTGGAGTTCACCCGTCTTTCTTCACTGGTATGTGCGCTTCAACCCTGACTCCCCTTCTAATTCTTGCCATGTTACAAAGCAGCACATGATTCTCAACAGATGTGGTTGCCTAATCTTAGACTTCTTCACATCCAGAACAATGAACCAAAATAAATAGTTTCCACTCTACAACAGAAAACAGACCAAGACACAAATGAAATGAGATTTTTAAAAATATATGACATGTAGCATATGTAATCAGAAAACTTGCTCATTTACAAAGTGAATAAACACTTCTGAATACCTGCTGGCACTGTTTACAATTCAGAGCAGGTTTGAAATGAGCTTGAAAAAGGTATAGCCTTCAGGGTGCATCAACAGATGAAGTTTAACAAACTGCTGTGGTAAAGTTTAATCCCTAGTACCATATAAGCCAGGTACAGTCTTGCAGGCCTGTAATTTTAGCACTCATGAGGATCAAAAATTCAAGGTCCCTTGGTGACACCTCAAGTTTGAGGCCAGTCTGGGACACATGAGAGCCTGTCTCAAAACCAAACACACACATACACACACACACACACACACACACACACACACACACACACACACCAGAATATGTTTGTTTGTTTTTTTCTGGGCTCTCTCCACAGCACAATGTCTTATCTTCTACTGTTTTATTCTCAGCTGGTAACTGACCCTTCTCTGCTATGAAGCTAACAAATAGGGTCTTATACATATTATAGTCAATTAAAAGTTAATAGCTGATAACTAGTATTTCCTAAATACTTACTTAACATTGTTGTTCTTTATAGGGTACTAATTTAACTCTCAGCAATTGCATGAAAAGTGATCCACAAACTCCATTTCTCAGGCAAGAAATCTGAGACATAAAGTTTGACCCCAGAGGCTCAGCCAGTGGTAGGATCCAGGAACTGACATCAGTGCTCTATCAGTTCCTAGAGACAAATGTTCCCAGATATATACTACTGCTCTAGACTGGTCAATTGATCATATAGCACACCCAGAACCTTCTATGCCATTTGACAGACATGAGAGCAAATGCAGCCTGACCCTGGGCAGAAGATGAGCAAGTGGCCGCAGGTCAAAATACAACTGATAAAAACACACAGAAGTGCCCCAGAACTCCAGGACAAAGGTGAATGGAGAGTCCATTTTCCAGTGGCACTCTGTTCTGTGATTTAAAAATAAAACAAAAAGCAAAAGAGGGACACAAAGCTACTCTGCAGCAAAAGACAGGTCACTGGTCCCACTGTGCCTTAGAAAAGATGCCAATCAGAGCTACTCTGTCTGAACAAAAGGCTCCTACCCAGAGTACTGAGGTGCTCAGCTACAATTTTTCAGTGCCTATCCCAGCAGGTGATATGTGTCCATGGTCCAATTCCCCTATCTAGGGACTAATAAAGGGTGAACTGAGAACCCACGCAAAGGCCCTTATACAGTATGTCCAGACTTCCCCGACATAATAGTATATAGTTCACTCTGAAAGTGAAAAGACAGCAGAGGAAAACCAAGGACTAAAGGATGAAATAATGGGCCCAGCAAAGGTTTCTGGCCTTAGCTAGTCAAAGAAAAGCTCCTGATTCCCTAGCAAGGGCCAGAGCTCAGCACTGGAACTGCTTGCTCTATCTATCCTGTGGTGTCTGCACCTGAGCACAGAGTAAAGCTTCCACTGTTCTCACAGAATTCCTTATGGTACTAAGGCCCAAATTTAAGAATTCTCTCTGATGTTACTACTAAAACTCTGTCATTATGATAAAAGGCAATATTACCAATTTTAGATTACTAAAAATGTTAGCAAAACTAAAATAAGTAATTTAGTGCAAATAATTACATTCCAGCTCCACTTCTTGACTGAGACAATTGTGTACAATTGTGTACAATTGTCTACAGTAGCTAAAGTCTTTGCACGGTGCCTGCATTTTTAAAGGTGAGGCAAAAACAAAAACCAGAAGCTGTGCACTGCAGAGACTGGTTCCAAAGAGAAGCAGAGCCTGGGTGCAAAAAGGGTGCTTGCCTCAAAGCTCACTGGGTGGAGCTCCCTCTGCCCATGTTCTTTCCTCTGCGAAACAGAGACATACGCTGCGTGACAACAGCACTATGAGACAGTTACACTATGGCTATCTCCCTCTTTAGTGGATATTTGAGACAGTAAGCCATGTGTCAGTCTTTAATAGCATGCTCAGATGAAAAGCAATTGTTGGGTAAAGTAACTGCCCCCTAGTTTCAAGAGCTAAGGAGACTGAAAGATTGAGAACATGAGGGTCTGACAGCTGGGTTAGTGTGCCCTTCCCCCAGCCTTGAGCAGGCCTGAGAGATCTTGTTTACCACAATAGACCAAACAATAGGACTCTGCCTGGAGGTATTGCCTGCCCTTGGCGGAGGTATTGCTTGCTTTGGCCTTGGAGCCTCTTTGGCTGCCTGTAGCCTGGTACACAAGCTGAGAAGAATAGACTGCCTGCTGAGCTTGCTTTGAGACATCTCCAGCCTGCAATTATGGATGGATTCCCCTCACCCCCAGCAGGATGGATTCCTCTCACCTCCAGCAGGATGGTTTCCCCTCACCCCCAGTCGGCTGAAGCAAGAAGGAACTCTGGGGGTGGGGGTGGGTTTTCCCCTTTAAATTGAAAGCTGAACATTAAAGCATTGAGCCTCGATCAGAAACCTTTGTCTTGGCCTCATCTCTTCCCGCCCTCCTCCCATTCCCAGCCTCTCTTTCAGGTGAACCCGGTTGACTGTGACCGCTGGTCGGCAACAAGTTAGCACTACTATTCTCTGTCTATCTGCAGACACTACAGTGGACCCCTACACCTAAGTTGGTGTCTTCTGTCCATCCTCACAAATGCCTAAGACTGAGGCCTATGGAGGGCTGTTTGGATGAAATGGTACAGAAAAAAAAAAAGGCTCAGATTTCTTATTTAATTTGCACTGACTCTTAGTGTAGTTTCCAAATGAAAGTCAAAGCAGGGTACTCACTGTCCACACACATTGCATACCTGCTGCCTGAGTCCATAGAAGGTGGCTATGGGCTCAGCGGCCTGGGGCACCACCCCCTCTGCATACAGGTGGATGTCATCTTGGACACTCTGTGCTGGCCAGAATCCAACCACACCCCTGGCCTGGAGTTTCTTTTGACTAATCAATATGTTCAGCATATTCTGAGCATCTTCGTATACCTTTTTGGCTTCTTCGCCTATTAAAAATATATAATAGGAATTTATTTAAAGATGCTAATAGTAACCTACAAATAACAATTCTTTTAAAAACATTGCCACTTCTCCTTCCCCACAAAGACTGTCGGGTTTGCCATGGGCACAGCCTGAAGCAGAGTACAGAGTAGATAGTGGGTCCATGAGATGAACCCCTACAGTGGGCCTCCTCAAGCTCAGTGTGCTTATATTCCCCCACTTAGTAGAATCCAGAAGCTCAGTCCATGGCACCTCTTGTCAGGAAGAGGGCAAGAACTGATAGTGCACATACAAACCCCATTAACTTCCCAGTGATATTTGGAGATGAGACAGAGTCAACAGTGAAGCGTGGCCCATTTCCTCTTACTTGGTGTTGGTGCTATACCTGGAAGGGTTCAGCACCTACAATGGTAGGCACCCTCCTACCTGGCGTCCTACCAGCTCTGGGACACCCTCCTTCATTTCCCATTAGCTCTCAATGGGCAACACTGTGCTGCCCTACCTGTGTGAAGTGCAGCCCTACAGTCCCTCCCTTCACAGCTTGCCTGTGGTGGCAAAAGGACAGTACATTAAGAAGTCCTTCGCCCAATCCTCTGACTACCAGTAAGTACTCAGATCTCAGCATCCAGACATGCCCAGGACACTCTAGGAGCTGCCAAGTGTCTGGTTTCCAGGGCTCTCTCCATCAAATCTCATGGTTCATCAGGACTCCTCCTCCCATGCTGCTCTGCTCTGACCTCTTCATGGTGTGTGATTTCATGGCTCTGGGTTTTGGGTGGGGGTTTTCATGACAACTGAGGGTTGACCAATTTACTGATTTATTCACTTCTTTACTTTATCACATCAAGTCTCCCTGCTTCCCTGAGTGTTTTGAGTACAATGAAATCTACAATTCCCCATGGGCGCTTGTGTTCAAAGCTTCTCACTTTCCTTCTGTTTGAAATATTCTTTTTTTTTTTTTTTTCTGGTTCTTATCCCTAGACCCAGCCTTAACAATCCTCATGGAGTCTTCAATAACATTTCCAGTACCACCACCTCCAGGAAGCCCGCTCTGACTTTCTGTGGGAACTCTAGTCCCTCTTCTTATGTGAGTGGGATCCCAGGCTGAGCCCATAGCAAGAGTCCAGCATCAGCCCAGCACAAACCTAGTACTGTCAGCAACTAGCACTGTAGCAAGCCAGGTACTGAATCATAGGATATCGCCTTTTTGTTTACCTCTCTGCCAAGCAGAGACCAGCGTGGAACTGATGTCAGTAAGTACATGTATTTAAAGAATATGTTAATAAAAGGGCAACTTTACCTGACATAATAAGGGCAAGCAAACAATGATGCTCGTGTGAAAGCTGAGTGGGTGAGTAATGTGGAAGCAGCTATATCCTGTATAAACCAAGCACTTAGTGCATCCTCTCAAACCACTCTCAGAGTCACATCACCACATCCTGAATACCAGGCAGGAAGGACTTACTAACCTACTGTTTTGTCATTAAATATCTTGGGAAATCCTCGATTGGGGTACTTGCCCCGGAGCTGCCAGACGTCAAAGAAAGGCTTCCAGTCAATGTAATCCACCAGCTTTTGCAGGTTGTAGTCTTCAAAGACCTGGGTCCCAATAAACGTGGGCTTCACTAGAGGAAAGAGGCACAGTGTCAAGGGCACAGCAGCCGGGAGAGCACTCACACTGACATACACTGAGGTGTCCTTCCCTGCTCCTCACTCTGCAGCTTACTCCCACCCCTGCTTCCCTCCTATCACCCGTAGGAGTTGTCTTACCAAGAGCAGAACTTTAAATTACTGAGGAGAAGGAATTTTCCCATGCAGCTGACTGACTGCTGGAAACTTCCCTCAACCCTTCTAGCTCCACCATGTCCAAGAAAAAAGGAAGCCTTGAGTTCATCCCTGAGTATACAGACGGTCAGAGTGTTAAAGTCCACTACAGAAGGGATTGTGTAGTACACTACTTATATGAGGTTTA